AAAAGTGGAGGGCAATGCTATGCAAAAAGAAGTGTTCCATGAATAAATGCAGTTGTAAAACAAGGGACTCTTGTGCAATTCAAAGTGCCATAACAGTTTAAGTTGTTGCAATAAATAAGATTGTATAACGTTAATCACATAATTTATGTGTAAGTTTATTATTATATTATTTTCTTTAATGATTTAGAATGTACTGCTTGTTTTAAGTTCAACAGTTTATTTACATGTGATAACATCACATGTAAATAAACTTTCTTAACTTACTTAAGCTTTCTCCTATTTTGACATATTAAAAAGTTGCATTTTTGTCTTAACGTAATAAAAATACTTTTATTCAACATTCACCATCAGTGCATGCTGAATATCGACATTTGCCGGTGTGAGAAATGATGATATTTAGCAAATATTTTGTACATACACGAAACAGCTGTGTGAATGCTGACATTTGCCAGATATCATTCACAGTAACATATATATACCAACCAAAGCCAAATATTATTGGGCTAGAAACGGCTATAATACTAATAATTTAATAAACAATTTGGCATTAGAGTTAGGCGTTAAGTGCCATCTCTTGATAAATTTAATAATTATAATTTAATTAAGTTAATTAAATAATTTAAATAATAATTTTAGAATTACTGGAAGAAAAGAATGGGCCTAAAGCAGGACTTGAACCCGCAACCCCTGCTCACTGTGCAAATGTGTTGCCAATTATGCTACTTGGACCTTCAGTCCAATCTCCTCTTCCAGCATATATAACCTAATGATATAACCAATTATTATTTAAATTATTTAATTAAGTTATAATTATTTAATTAATTAATTACAAATACTTTATTGTAATAAGAAAGATCTTGTTACAGGGGGTTAGCTCTAGAGAATTACAAAAATACAATTATTACTTATTGAGACATTTTTTAAATATCTTGTTACATAAAATTTGCTAAACATAACATATTAATCATTCAGTCTACATATATTTCAAATTCTTTAAAATATAAACAAAAAAGTTATAAATATTATGCATCTTACATAATGGAATATTTTTCTAGATTGATTCTGAAATTTTCTTCTTAACTTAAATCAAATTAAGTTATAATTATTAAATTTATCAAGAGATGGCGCCTAACTCTAATGCCAAATTGTTTATTAAATTATTAGTATTATAGCCATTTCTAGCCTGATAATATTCAGCTTTGGTTGATGTATAGCTTTAAATGTATCAGGTGTAGTAAGGATGTTACTTTATCCATATATTATATATATAATATATGGATAAAGTAAAAATAGTGCATATAGATGATATGAGAAGTCTTATTTTTTAAAAATTAATACTTTTGGAGATTTTTCTTAAATTTCTGTCTTCAAAAGGAAAAAATTCATCTGAAGTTATAGGATTTGAATATTTGATTTTCTATATTTTGTTATGATAACAGTTATAAATGATGTAAATATGTGAATCTAGTAAAATGGATTTTTAACTGTTGCTACAACAACATACAGAAGATAAAGCATTCAAATAACTCTCAATAAAACAATGTGTATCTGGAGATAGAGAATAAGAAATCTCTGAAAATGTTAATATTTAAAGAAAAAGACTTGTCATTTATAGGTACAATTTTTAATTTTACTTTAATGTTAAAATTGAAGTTGAATATTTGATATTAATATTATCAAATTAATTTTCTATTCATGACTTATAAGATTTATGTCAATAAAATATATCTGCAACATTTATTTAATAAGCTAATGCTCCAAAATAAATTCATAATTTAACCAAAAAAAATTTTTTTTATTATTATTAATTGTATAATTAAAAAATAATCCAAAATTAGAGTAAAATAATTTTAACTGAGATTATTTAATTTAAAATTTTATTTACTGTGTTATATATTTATAAACAATTTTTTTACTTTTAGGATGGAGAAACATATTGTTTAGATGCTCGTTATTATGGTAATATCAGTAGATTCATTAATCATCTGTGTGAACCAAATCTGGTTCCTGTAAAAATATTTGTAGATCATCAAGATTTAAGTTTTCCTCGAATTGCATTCTTTAGTTCAAGAGACATAAAACCATTAGAAGAACTAGGGTAAAAATCTCAGAATTTCAGCCAAATTTTTTACTAATTTAAGTATTATTGTATGCTTTATAGAAATCAAAAATTAATGTAATAAAACCTGTTTAAAATACAATGTGATGATACTGGTTAGAATTTTCTGTTTTAAATACACTATTCTGTTAAACAATACGACTCTGCTTCTTTGACTTCTGGGGAATTTGGGAAAAAGTGTTGTCATATTGTCCAGACGAAGTAGGAACTATCTCAACTGTAAAAAAAAATTGATACTGTAATTCTCATTACCAAGAAGCCAACAATGATCCAAGCCTGGTAAAATTAATTATGGTTTATAATTTGGCTGCTATTTCCAAAATAATTGCACTTTGCTTAGCTTCTGTTATACAATTAGTTCTCAAGAAGTCTTACATTTCTACTTTAGACAGGTTTTGTGTATATTATATTATATTTAGATTGAATAAGTCATTATGAAACTTTTTACTACATTTATAAAAAAATATATTATTGTAGTTTTGATTATGGTGAAAAATTTTGGGTTATCAAGTACAAGTGGTTTACATGTGGTTGTGGCTCACCTAAGTGTAAATATTCCAAAGAAACAATTCATGAAACTCTAGCAAATTACTATCGCAGATTGAAGGAAGAGCAGGTAGACGAACTTGACTTGAATCCTCCTATATGTTGGTGAGTAAAATTTTTGCATTTTTTAATTAAAATGAAAATAACTTAATAACAAAGTATTGCATTATTTAAATGTTTCAACTTAAATCTAAGGTAATTTAATCATTTATTACTTTTAATGTATGTAATTTCTTTCTTGAATGTAGAGACAGAATGCTAAAATTTTTATTATGTTAAAGTATGAAAGGAGAACTAAATTCTCTAAAAGATATAATTTAAAAGAATAATGTGTGTTTTTTGAAATAAGTATATAAATATGTGTTTTAAGTGTATATATTGATGTAAATTCTTTGGATGCCAAGAATGAATATTTAATTAATTAATTCCAGCTTTAGTAACAGCTACTGCTTATTAATTTTTTCATTTATTATTAAGCAGTTACTCAGATATTTTATATAATTTCTACTACTTTAAAAGGAAAATATACTTGATTATCTAAAATGCTTTGACATTTGATATTTAAAATTTCAATAAAGATATAGCAAATCCTCATTTAATGTCATTTTGTTTAACATCATTTCATTATAATGTTACTGAGGAAAGATACAAGTACAACTTTATAATCATTTACAATTATTATTAAATTTTCTTTATAAACAGTAAAATTGGTTCTATGAAGTGGGGAAATAAATGCAAACATTGTCCAGTTAGAATAATAATAACTGAATTATATCTTTTTTATATCATTTAGCCTGTGGTAAAATTGGTTTCATTATCTGTTGTTTCACTTAACTTTATAATGCAGCCTTTTAATTCAAAATTCACTAACATTTTTGGCCATTTTGAAAGACCTTCATCAGGAATAGAACAATCGAATGATTCTGATTTATCAATATTTGTTCTGGAATTTTTTGCTTTTTGAATTTTCTTATATATCTAGTGCACAGGCTCATATATAAATAATTACAAAGTATATTGGTACAAGTACCAATATACTTTGTAATTATTTATATATGAGCCTGCACACTAGACATAAGAAAATTCAAAAAGTTCCAGAACAAATATCGGTTTTGAAATCAGAATCATTCGATTGTTCTGTTCCTGAAGAAGGCCTTTCAAAATGGTTGAAAATGTTAGTAAATTTTTAATTAAAAGCTGCATTATAAAGGTTAGTGTGTTGATGCTTGAGTATAAAAGGTTAGTGTTAACAAAATCATATATTATTTCAAATACTGATTCTTTTTTAAAAACTAATTGAAATGGTTTATAGATATAAAAGCTTAAATTTTTCAAAACAATTCACTATATTGAAGTTATTTAAACTTCATATTAATTTTTACAGTTTGAGAACCAGTCAGTTCATAAATTTATATTTGTTACATTTGTTTTAAAACTAGATTTCTAAAATTGGTTCTCTAACATAAACTTTTATCATGGACATTTATAATTTATTTTCAGAACACTCTTTTAGACTTTGTTTTTTCAGATATTTTCACTCTAAAAATACATTTACTCATAGGACTTAAATCTGATTATCATGCAATTTTTCTTGACAGTTTGAAATGAAGTTCTTGATCCAGTCTAAAAACAATCCAGTCCATTATCATTATATAGTATTTAGTGAGTATACTCGATTGACACTGGTGGCTGTGTACTATGCCAGACCAGTCAAGGCATAGCAACCAAAACAAAACTAAAATTAAATTAGTTTGTCAGTGTCAGTATTCAAGAATTTCCTAACTATATGGTATGTATTCATTATAGTGGCCTTCTGTAGTGTGATGTATGTATTTCTATTCAATTGTAATGTTCCCAGGCTTTTGTGTAGTATGTGTGGTACCACACCTGTACAGGAGAGAATGACAGGTACAATAACCACCCTATCCATCCTCCACAGATGCCTTATTTCCTGGGCGAGTTCTGTGTACTTGCGAATTTTTTCAGTGCATGTGTTTTGTATATTGTGAATGTTTGGAATGGCTATGTCTATAATGTATGTGATTTTATTGCTGTGAATAAAAAAAACAAGAAAGAACATTTATGTAATTTGTATTGGTCTTTTTTGAAGGAATATTTTATATAAGTTATTAAAATACTTTTCAAGCACTTTTGGGCATTTGTTGGGATTGAACAAAACTGAAAAGAACGACACATTACTATGCCACAAATTTAAAAATTAAACACTAGTATTGCGTTTTATTCCAAAGACACATGGCAAATTTTCCATCAAATTCCTTTATTAGTTGAGTCGACTCAACTAATAAAGGAATTTGATGGAAAATTTGCCATGTGTNTTAATTTACTATCAAAAACGTAAAATATTTGAGTAGCCCAAGACATAGCCAAAGATTGCACTGGCAATTTGCCGACTGGAATTCTTTCGGATAATTGACTTTCAGATAATCAATGCTCTACTGTATATGAATACAGTAAAATATGAAAGTATTAAAAATATATGTGGAAGTGGTTGCAATATACAGCATAAAAAGCAACAAGAACGGAAGAGGAAGGTGTTTATGTCAGGGTGAGCGGCTGATCACATCTGGTATAGAAAGAAAGTTGCAGATTGACTTGTGTGAGGGTCATAAAAGTGCATCTATATTTCGACTAATTACCAAACTCCTAAGTTAAAGAGTTTCAAAGATTGAATCGGGTCAAGAGGGTATGTTGGTGACAAAACCCAGGAAGAACGAAAACTTTCTTGCTTATAGTAAAACAAACGTGACGCGATGATAAATGGCAGGGGGGGGATGTTGACAGAGAAACAGAGTTTTGTTGAGATGCTCATGAACAAGTGTTGGGTCAAAACAATCGAGAAAAGGGGGGTTTAATGACAAAAGGAATATCTGTTAAGCCTGAACGCGTTAGGGGGTAAATGGCCACAAGAACATCTGGTGGACTGTTTAAATTCAAAGATGTCAGAGAATAGGGCCATAATGGAGTAAAATACGAGCGCGGACTTTAAAAGCTCCATTATCACCTCTCCGACCTTTACCCAACCTGGATTGGTCTTGGGTTTCACCTAGAGACAAAAGAATGACCAATCGGGATAAGGGAGAGTGTGAACAGGACCAATCAAAAGGGTGATATTCAGGGAAAATCCTATAATACACTGAATCTCAAGGACAAGGGGTGGTTCCTCTCCAGACAAGGTTCTTCACCAGTGACTCAAGATCTCCATACATCCGCAACATCACCAGACAGAAGCACCTGTGCAATGGACACTCTTCTGTCAAGCCCAGGACACGCCACCCAGGACACCAATCTGCACCCATTCGCTGACATCGGGAGCTCCAATAGAGCCAATCTAGATCACATTGTTATTGATATTATGTAAGTTAACTTTATGTCAAAAATAAACGGTTTTTGTAAGACACTTGTCATCTTTGTCTCCTATCACCACCACCCACATACGATTTGCCCCTAGATTTTCCTGATGCGCAATTAACTTATTGCCCCTAAAAGTCAGCAACCTTACTGTCTGCAAAGACGCAGTGGTGTCAGTCCTGACGGAAATTTGTCATCTCGGAAAGATGTCGACCCTTCAGTCCCGTGGTGCCGAAGAATAGGAGGGCCCTTCAGCATTGTCACACACCACCATAGGTCATAATTCTATTGTACTGTTTGTAAATGTGCTAACATCAATTTTCTTAATTATTTACTATACAACAAGCTGATGTGAGGACTTCAGGTCCAAAATGCATTCTTCTTAAAATAATAACGTGATTTTCTAAGGCCAATCTGATGTCCTGTGGTAGTGTAATAAGTCTAGCAATAAAGAAAGGCCAATTTTAGTGCTCACAAGTCAATACAAAGTCTAGGCAAGAAGTGTATCATAGTAGAAGTTGCAGATGTTTTTCCAGTGGTCAGAGTACACTAATATTGGAACATTCATAGGCTACAGGCTATAGATTAAAAAATCCAGCAATAAGTTGCAAAGCTTTCCTGTCTATTATGAGATCTTATTTAGAAAATAACTTTTATAATTTTAATTACAATATAACTTAATAAAATTGGGTGTGGTGCCATTATGAGATTTTGTTATAAAAACTTTTTATATTTTTAATTACTATAAAATGGCAAGGAACTTAATTTTGAGAATAGGGATAGGTTTTTATAAAAAACTATAAATGTTAATAATGAGTAAAATCATCATTAAATCTGACCCTACTGGAGATACACTTTATCTCCCCATCCCTCGACCTTTAACCACGAAAATTTAATAGCATATGGTGGCAGTGCTGCCCCTCAATACAAGCCACCATGCCAAATTTCATTATTTAATATATGCCCAATCCTGAGATATTAAGCAAAATAGATGCCAACACACACATGGAATTTCTTTTGCCTTTTTTTTGCATTCAGGAGATCTCAAAATGTGGAGATCTGCAAAAAGACTCAGGTCAAATTCGACACAATTCCAATACTTTCCCTTGTTATGTATACATAAGGGAAATTTTGCCTTTCACTGTTGACTCTAATATTGCTAGAATTCACCTGACCTGGGCTTCCCATCTTTCCTCAAAAAAATTAAATATTTTGATTGGTTGTTACATTACAAATATTTTAATGGTCTTATTTATCAAGATTGGCTTTCACTCCAAATTCCATTGAGAAAACTTTGCTCACTTAGGCCAAGACTCCACTATTATAAAAACAGGCATAAAAACCTATATCATAAAAACTTTTAATCACTTGACCTATTTGTGTTTGCATCTGGATTGTGGTGGAGGACCAGCTAGTGAAGTTTTTACGGTGACAGTGCTGACCCAAATGTCAAAAGTAAATACATCTTTGCACATGAATTGGTAGAAACAGAAGACAGTTGTATATGTGATATATCGATATAAAGACAATAATTATATTCTATTTATTTTTTCTGTACTATAATTATAAATGTAGTAAAATAATATCTTTACTTTCATATATTAACTTTTATTATCGTATTATTAAGATAATATACAGCACTTATAAGCTTAGCTTTTTTATTTAACTTATATAGGCCCACTTCTCTAAATTGAAGGATTTTTTCTATGGCTGTCCATATCGCGTGTTTTAGGCATCCAT